TCCCGCGGTGCCGCCGCCTCGGCCACGCCGGCTCCCCCGGCAGCCCTGTTTTTGGAGAAGTGCTGGAATCGTCGCCACTCGCATCGTTTGTGAGCGCTGCCCCTCCGCCGTTTCGCACGGTGATGGGCGCAGGGGCGAGAGTGGATTTGGCGTCTCTTATCTCTTGCTTGTAAGGCTCGTACTTCTCGTTGTTTAAATGTGTGGTTGATTTGTATTATTTTTCTCTATTTCTTTGTTTTCCGAATAAACCTTCTCTTGAATGGCCTCAGAGTTGTGGTCTCAGCCTGTGGACTGTTGCGTTCGCAGCTGGTTGCCAGGCCTGGAACTGCATAGATAGATCAAGAGGCACAGCAGCCCCTATTGCAATGTTCCCACCGTTGTTAAGCGTACCTGGAGGTAGCCCTTCGCAGTTACACAGGGGATTGTGCTTTATCTCAAAGATGCAGTATGAAAGTACTCGAGTCACATTTTTTTATTTTTTTTTTTTCTTCCAGGGTTCTGGTGTGGATAATCTTCCTAAAGGATTTAGCTTTGATCACTGTAACTAGGAGTGTTTCAAATTCTTATGATTCACGGTTCCTACACCATAGTTACCGTATCTTTTTCTGTTTATGAGGCACGTATGAGGCAGAAATTGGATGTTTTACAAAAGGGAGAAGGGCCTCGTTAAGAAAATAAAAAAGGTGGCTTGGTCCAGTGACGGTCATGTAGGGAGCTTGTCAAAATGACTGATGGTCTTTAAAGAACAAATATTGCATGGCTGGAAGTTACAGAGTGCCACAGGTGCAGGCACTGCCTTTATCCTCCAAAATTCCCACCATTGCACCTGGCTGCGATTACAGCTCTGCTTGTGGCATGCCAGCACAGAACAGCTGCTGTCATTCAAGCACATCATTGTCTCATCCTGCTCACAGCAATTTTACACCATGTGACAGTGACAATACAAGCAGCCCCCTCGGCTTGCCTTGGGTGGTGTTACTGGCTGATACCGCTAGAGCTGTAGCAGCAGGAACTACAGCGGAAACTTCGAGGAGAGGGAAAACGTGCTCACATAGATAAGGAATAGGTCATGTAGTAGGATATTTACTTCCAGGTAACTGAATTGCATGACCTTCTCCACTTTTATTTTTTTTTTTTTTTTTGGAAATGATGTTCTAGAAAAGCTCCCAGGTCTTCACGTCACACTTGGTCTAGAATCAAAGGCGGAGAAAGGGATGTGCCATTCAAAAATTTTAATATATATATATATTGCAACTTGGGTCTTTCTTGGTGTGTACAAAATCTGTAGCTTTCTGCATACTTGAAGACAGAGCTAAGATTTGTATTTAAGTAAAGACAGATCATAGAAATTCTTCAGAAGAACCTGAAGGTTCCTTCTGAAATGAAATTGCAAGTTTCAAAGCTTGTATCTGCCTCTGCTTTATTTAAGGATGTAAAATACTTCTGAACTGTGTTTGTTTATCTTGTG